GTTTATTACTTTGCCACTGCCAAAATCCAGTGCAAAATGGAACTACAAAACAGGGAAGGAAGACACCAAAAGGGGAAAAAACAAAAAGAGGAACAGTAGCACAAAGGAACAACTCAACAATAAAGGTTTCCTAGAGGACAGAACGGACCATCTCTACTTACCAAAAAAAGAGTAAGGTTTCCTATCACGTCAAAAAACTTTTTGCCCGTTCCTTTCGTCCGCCTCTTCCGTTTCACATCCTGCCTAGTGCCGCTCCTCTCCCCCACTCGGTTTTCTAGATGGCAAAAGAACCCGCGCAAGGAAAAAAAAAGTCCAGCAGAATCCATCGCCCACCTCTCTCATTTTTCCACCCCGCACCACTCTTCAACCCTAAATCCCCTTTCCCTGTTCTCCGCCGCCACGCCTACCGCTCCCGGAACATCCGCTGCAGCCAGCCGCCACCCCACACCTCAACACCTCCTTCCTCTCCTCGACTCGCTGGTGCCACTTCAATGTCCGAGCTACCCAAAAATACGCTGCGTGACACCGCCACCCCCCCGGTTCCTTACATTGACCTCCTCACCCGCTGGCTCTGCCTTCGCATCAGTCTGCTACGTCACTGACCCAGAGAGGCCGATGGGGCACCGGTCGATTGGCGCCGGGGGCTCATGATCCGGCGCCGCAAGCAAAAGATTTGATTCTTCTATGTTCGATTCAGAGCCCCTCCTCTGAATTCTTTTGATGCTCTTATAACATGCGCCACTCTGGGGATCTCGCAGATCTCGACCTTGACGAACTCCACCTATGCGAAGGCGGCACCAAGACCGGCAGCAGCAAGTACGGGCTTGCTCCTCTACAAGGTAGACGGCCTCATCCTCTCCTTTGTTTTGACATTTTCCTGTGCACTGCATGGGATAAACTGACTACTAATTTGATGTAATTGGTAGAACACTGAATTTCTTATTGTATATATTAAACAACTAAATTTGTAATTGTCATAACTAAACGATTTGGACACAGATTTTATGCACTTGGTACTTTGCATCTCTCAGTCTGGTGACACTTTAGTATTCTTATGCCTTTGTGCAGATCATGGAAGGAGGTAATCTGGTTTTTGGCAATGAAGTTTTAACTGAGGAAAGAATGGACAGAGGAAACACAACAAAGTGAAAGTTAAAGCGAAAAACAGTTTTCATGACAAACTCTCTCTGCCCAGTCTCCCAGCCATCCATGCATGCTGCATATTAGTCACCTAGAAAAGTCACTGAATACTGCATGGTCACTTAGAGAAATTATGCTGCTGAAATGGTCAGTATACTACATTAAGAGAAACATCACTGGCATTTTGTTAAGAGGGAATGATCCGAAGTGGACAAAATTGCATCAATGCATTTCTCTTCAGAAACAAAATTGCCAACTACTTGGCCATTAGCTTCCAAAATTGGACATGAGCTTTAGTAATTAAATTGGCACGATATGTCTCAATTCTATTTGTTTTGCAGATTGGGAGGATAAAAGGTATAGAGCCCTTTTTTTCTCTTCTGTGGGGTTGCAATTTATTCCTTGCATATCATTTTGTTGCTAGCAACCTAATGTTTGCCTGTTGTAGGACCAAGCAGGTTGGGGAAAGAATTTAATTAGGATTAATTTGTGCTGCACTTTCCCACAACTGATATTCAAGAATTAGGTTATCACTTAACACTTGCTAATTGCATCAGTTAGTATGCAGACACATTAACAATAAATAGATGGTAAATCAAGGTTCACATTAACAATAAAGGTAAATCATGGTTGTTATGTAAAAAACTAACTAAAATTTTAGTGGTACATTTTGTATGCCTCCGTTGCAAGTTGCAACGCACGGGCTATTACTTAGTGTAGGGGAAAATGGATACCACAAACAACCAAAAAAAAACAACCAAGTCTACACCAATGTTTACCTAAAATGCATGGATAAACAAATAGTGGCCTAAACTATTGATGTGAGATGGAAAACCGATCATGAAGTCCAGTGTATTGATGCACATCATGCATCTACTAAATCAAGGAAACTGCAGCAAATCAAAGCACCAAATCCAGAAATGTATAATTAAAGTACATGTAAGAAAAGAAGCAAACAGGCTGATTGGTAAAAGCAGAGCGCAAGATCTCAGTTCACAAAAGTATGTCAATCAAGGATCAAGTAAATATTTTGTAGTAGCACACTATGCATCTGAAAAAGAACAAAAAGTTATGGTCCAAAAAAGGCAACGCAAATATTCGCAAAAGGAAAACTGATGAATAGTAGCATTCTTTAGTTTTTACTGATATTATGCCACCACGTCTAAAAGTGGCTAATAAACATCCTTTTATTTTACTGATATGTATTGCTGTCGTACAAATAGGGAGCAATGAGATGAACTTTTGTTGAAAGCAAGGTGCCAACTCACAATTACGACTTCTATCAGCCTACACTCATTTGTTTTTTCTTCATTGTGTCAAATGACCATGACAGTACACTCATTTTTAGGAAGCTACAAACAGATCATAATAACAATGCTTACCTGTCCCCTGTACTTACCTGCCTCCTGTTCTATGATTCAACTCGTACAACCAAGTGCTGTTAAGAGACCAAATCCAACTGAAAATGACAGCTAATTAGACGCAGTTTGGAGCCGCTGGCCATGTGAATCAAAACATACTGGGAGCGTTTTACTTACATTTTCATTTTACACTTTCTATGGTCTTCATATACAAGACGAAATTAAAAACCCTATAAACAACATATGCCTCTGCAATTGATGAAGTTTCATACGATTAATGGTGATACAAACTATGCCCAACTGAAACATATGAAGGAAGCAATTCGAAAAAATATATACCTGCTGCAGATGCAAATCCTACTGATCACTAAATCATGCGACCACCTGCACCAAGCATAAAACAAAAAAAGATTTCTATTAAAAGCTATTCCAATTTATATTTTAGTTCTGCAACACAGATGTATGCAATTGTGATTCATGCCGCTAGCCAACAAACTAACAAGAGCTTCATATTCTCAAAGATCGTAGAGGAAAAAAACAAAGGTAGAACACATCACAGCTGAGATTTCAACAATTTTAACAGGATGTTATTGGACGCACTAACTATGCCATGGGTCATCAGAAACCATATCAAGATCTTTCCTTAAAACGTAGCTGTAATTGAAGTAGCAAGCCTGCTTCATTCTAATCATCTAATAGCCAAATTATAGATGGGTAACATTTATGAACAAAATATTGCTGCACGAAACAGGAAAATATTTAGATGGCTTTGTGAACTGGTGCTTCACCATCGCCCATCACTGTAAATGTGGCTAGTGTTGCCTTGATCCCCACAAAAGAGGCTGACATGGATGGTTACACGCTGTGAGCCCCTTTCCATCACACCAGATCTACCATGACTGTCACTATTACAGGCGCAGTTGCTCGAAAGAAAAAACGCTGGATGCCACAATGGGAAGGGAAAGGAGGGGCACAAAGTTGGAAGGAGAGGGGCAGCATTATTATTCACCATTTTTGTAGGCTTTGATCGCTCGCTTGATTAGTTCTTACCGTGGGAAGGAGCACCAAGCTGCCGTGCAGGCCCAGCAGTAGCTAAGGCTCAGTGGCAGGCATTAGGAAGCTTAACAAGAGAAGATATGGTTGTGCGGAAAAGCAAATGCAAATAAGCTAAGCTAAACAAGGAGGTGGTTGGACATGAGGATATGACCCATTGGATAATGGGCCCAGCAACAGTTTCAGGAGATGGTTGGACATGAGAACATGACCTATTGGATAATGGGCCCAGCAATAGTGTCTGTCTTCTCGACCAGGCCGCGTGCATGAAGCGGCATTCCTACCAAACCTAATTCTGTGCCTCGTGACTAATCCGGTACAGTGGATGAAAAGCCTCTCTGAGAAGGATATGACCCATTGGAGAATGGGCCCAGCAACAGTTTCAGGAGATGGTTGGACATGAGGACATCACCTATTGGATAATGGGCCCAGCAATAGTGTATGTCTTCTCGACCCGGCCGCGTGCATGAAGCAGCATTGCTACCAAACCTAATTCTGTGCCTCGTTACTAATCCGGTACAGTCGATGAAAAGCCTCTCTGAGAAGGAGAATGGGGGTGAGGGCCATGGTGAAAAAGATGTCGAGCACAGGACACAAACAAAACCCGCCCGCTGCCAGCAGGACCAACGAGAATGGAGGCCCCGCTGGCAGAGAAGCAGCGACTAAATGACCGAAGTCTATGAGCTTCGATGAAAACAAGCGGACAACACAGTAAGGAAAGAAACAACTACCAGATGGAACGACACATGACCGCCACCTCTCTCCGCCCAAGTAGTCTAGGACCATTTATTAAAAACATTCATATTGTACTACATGTGGTGGGATTGCATTTGCATGCTCAATATCATAAGGGATAGACCTGTTCAGACTTCCGAGAAAACATCCTTCTTTTTTACTGTGTCAGCACAGTAGTTATTGACCTAAGACCTATCTAGGGAAAGGCCTAATTTTGCTTCCTCGACTATTGCATTGGTTCAATTTACCCCCAAGCTCAAACCATTCAGAAGTTGCACCCTCAGCCCTCTACTATTGAAACAAGATGAAAAAAGTGCAGAGATCAACACATGGCTTCAGAATTCAATTCAGGACCCCAACACCCAGGAGTCGACTTCATCTTATGATACGGATAGCACAGGAAATGATGCTCTATCTCCTACAAGCGGCAGCCAGCATCAACTACTGTAGCATCGTTTACGATATTAATCATAAGGTGTTATATGGGCAAAACAGTTGACTGGGTTGAACAAGTAAAATAAAGAGACAGCTGACAAAGTGACAACGCTATTTCACACAGCAAAACACAGGGTGTCCCTTGGTCTAAGTCTTTCATCTCATTGCACCAACCAAGTCATAAAAAATATGCAGATCATACGAAACTGAAGGTTGACGAGATGCATGACAATATATGGTTTTACCCCGCAGCTGTGGAATGGCTGGACCAGTACTTCACTGCTGTTGCGGCACAATGGCTGGAATTGTACTTCGCTGCTGTGGTGGCTCAATGGCTGGAGCGGTACTTGACGCTCTGACAGTACCTGTGGCAACCAACCTCATTAGTGATGATTGCACGAGCCATAACTCAGAAGGATCAGGAAAAATTAACTTCAGTACTTCACTACCAAAGGGATTAATGATTAAACCTTTGAAATCACTCCGCCAAGATTAGGTAAAATAGCTCGACAAACTCGGTGATTGAATACCCAATTCAGGCTCAAACCCATCCTAACATCGCCGACATATGAAATGATCATAAAACGTAACATTCTTTTCAAATAAGATCGCAGCTTCTGGCTATTCCAAAATCACCAGATTCCCAAGTATAATCAAACATAATAATAAAGAGTTATCCATTTGAACCTTTGGAAGCTGCTAACAATTCTCTCAAAAATTGAAGTACTGCAAGTAGCCAAGATATCGGCCTCACAGCCTTGGTTTTTTTCGTAAACAAGAATCATCTTGACATCTACATAAAATTCTAAGACCCATTGTTGCAACAGAATGATCAGATTATTACGAATTGTCAACAATTCTTTAGTTAATTTATTGATTTTGTGACCAATTGTTGCAACAGAATAATCAGATTGTTCTGAGCAATCTGCATGCCTACTTTGCTTCAGAGCAAAAGGGAGAACAACAACAGAGGATAAGAACAGATGGGAAATCTAGATACAAAAAATGTCAAGATGATAGAATAGCAATGGACACCTCAACTTAGGGGAATATGAGAGGTGACACCTCAACCATTGAACAATTTTCATGAGCTAATGAACTATGAAGAATTTTTATTACCTGCAGTATAGAAGTATGCAAACGGATGGTAGGAATACTCCAAAAATGTTTGATTAAGATTCGTCCACTCCATTGACTCAAGTTGAAGCATGAAGCTGTAGGCGGCCACACCCCCACCGAAGGACACTGTTAGAAGAAGCGCATCCCCATCCTCAGAGTACCCTACTATAGTCAGCATAGCATACTGAAGCATACTATGCATGCGAGCCGTCTTTCGCAGCACCCATATGGCAGTACCATGACTATTGACCATGCGTTCCCAGATTTGGAACCTCGGGTACGAAAATACAGCGAGGCCAACACCGCCATGCTCTCCCCTGATGATCCGGATGCTGCAACTGGGAATGCGATCAAAAATAGGCCTCCTGACCACAGATAGTGTCTGGCTATCCAAATCGAACTTGAGTATGCCATCCTCGTGCTGACACTTTTTTAGCCACCAGTAAAGAGCATTGCCGACGAGGGTGGAGGGGAAGCTGCTAACAACACATGGTTCCGCCATTACGACAAGATCTCCCCACTCACCGGTGTCCGAGGAGTAGACCCGGGCTAGGACCGGGTGTCTCACTCTGGTGGCCACCAGAACCACCTTGAAGGGGCCCGAGTGGCAGTCTCCGTGCACGTGGCCCTGCTCGCCGCCGGCAGCGCAGACCACCGCTCCGTTGGCGACGGCGTACTCGCCGTCGACGAAATCCGGAGGAATCACCACGGCGCGGAGGCCGCGGCGGCCGCCGACGAGAGGGGCGAAAACGAGGAGCAGGGCCAGATCCTGGTTGACCATGAGGACGCGGCCGTGGCGGTACCCGAGCAAGGTCCAGCAACCGAGCACGTGCCAGAACCGCATGGAGAAGCGCTCGCGGGGGATCCGGTCCGGGGCGTCGAGGAGCGGGGTGAACACCAGCTCCCCGTCGCGCTCCTCGAAGACGCCGAGGACGGGGGGCCTCCGGTGGTGGGTGCGGAAGCGGCGGAGGAAGGCGCGGTCCGCGGCGAGGCGGCCCCAGAGCCTCGAGACGGCGGCGGCGCGGACGAGCGAGGAGGGCAGCGGGGGGAGACGGACGAGGATCTCGCCCAGGACGTCCTCGTCTTCCAGCGGCGCCGCCGCCTGCGGAGGGCCGGGGCGGAGGGCCGTCTCGCCGCCGCCGCCGCCGCCGGAGCCCTCGTGAGTCATGTGGGGAAAAGAAACGGAAATGGGGGAGCGGAGTAGGGCTGTAGGTTACTGGAGGATGCGTAAGAAGGAAGTAATAAATGGGCTGGGCTCCAGAGAAAAGCAAGCTCACTCATCCTTGGATTACGGGCCAGCAGTGAGTTTTCTTTTTCTGTTTCTCTTTTTCCTTTCTTCTTCTTCTTTTTCTGTTTCTCTTTTTCCTTTCCTTTCGTTTCTAGTTTTATTTTTTTGTTTTTGTTCTTCTTTTTGTATTTAGTTATTTCTGTTCATTTTTTTCTTTTCTTTTCCTTTTTTTCGATTTTTCTGTTTGTTTTCTTTCTCTGGTTTTTTATTTGTTTGTCCTTTTAGTTTCTTCTCTTTTTATCAAAAGAGTTTCAAAATATTCAAATATTGTTCGCATTTACATAAAATGTTCAGGTTTCAAAAAATGTTCTCGTTACACAAAAAGTGGAAAACTTTCCAAATGCAGAAAATGTACCGGATTTCAATTTTTTTTTCATGTTTTCATAAATGTTCGCGCTTCCAAATTTGTTCGGGATTTTTCTAAATTGTTCTCCGTTTCAAAATTAGTTCTCAAGATTCAAAAATGTCCGTGCTTTAAAAAATTGTTCGTGCTTCCAAATTTGTTCTCCGTTTCAAAATTTGTTCTCAAGATTCAAAAAATGTTTGCGCTTCCAAATTTGTTCTCTGTTTCAAAATTTGTACTCATGATTCAAAAAATGTTCTTGCTTTATAAAATTGTCCAAAAATTCCAAAAAAATTGGGCAATTCAAAATTTGTTCATGTTTTCAAATATGTTCGCGGTTTCAACATTTTATTTGCATTTTGAACAAAGGTCATGTTTCAAATTTGTTCACATTTTAAAAAATGCTCTGTTTAAACGTTTTTGTTCTGAACTGAAAAATGTTCCTGTTTTCCATTTTTGTTAAAAAATTAAAACTGTTTGTGGTCTCAGAAAATACTCCGAAAATTCAAAAAAAATTGAGTTTTCCATAATTTGTTGTTAATTTTTGAAAAATTGTTCGCATTTTAGAAAACTGTTCGGGATTTGCAAAATTTGTTCATGTTTCTTTTTTGAATTGAAAATACAAAAAACTTTACTGCATCAAGAAAATGTTGGAACATATAAAAATTGTGATATTTAGGAATTTCCAAAAAAGGAAATAATAAATCACTTATTCGAAAACTGTTTGTAATAAAAAATTTGCGGCATTTCAAAACTGTTTGCAACTTTGAAGGAATGTTTTTCAAATCTCAACCTTCCTGAGTATTCTTATAGCGTTTTGCCCCTTTAAGTACAGCTGCCATTCTCTACTGTAGTGGCTAATGGGTCGCAGTAATGACTGGTGTGTGCGAGCTATCGCCTGATAGGAAAACAACGAACGGGCGCATTGGTGGGCTGGCCCAGTCGCGCGTCGACCCTGTGCATCGACTTTTTGCATGACGCAAACTGCATCGTATAGGGACTCTCAACGTTTGTGGCCAGCGGACCGTCTGAAACGTCCGTCGGTCCCTCGCGGTGCATACGATAAAGGGCAATCGAACGTTTCATATTTCATCTCCACGCGAATACATCAGCGTATGGGCCTCGTGCGACAGCTGGCCCAACTGCTCGCCCAGTCCCTCCCACCCCTTTCTATTGCTCATATGTTGTCTTTTTCCTCTCGATCCCCTTCTCTTTCAATTGCTCCTCATCTTCCTCCTTCAGATCTCGCCACTCCTCATCTTCCTCCTTCAGATTCCGCTGCCGGCTAGCCCCAATCCCACATAGGTCCCCATCTCCAACATCAGCGCCCCACAAACACTTCTTCCACTGCCCTCGGCTTGCAGATTCATTCCGCCCTGGCAAGCCGGAGTTGGGAAGCTGCCATGGACATGTCGTCCGCGAGTTGCTGCTCACAGTTTCATACGCTGGACCCGTCCACTAGAGATGCTGCAACCAACGACCAAAAAAGCTACAACAATTTGATTCGAAAAGCTTCAACTTGCGGCATATAAACTTTCAACCGGACACCGTGGACTGAAAAATCTACATTCACTCATACGAAAGCTTCAACCGTAGTTTCAAAAAGTTTCAACCGGCGAAATACAGTAGTTTTATCCGACCACTATGAAAAAAGAGAGGCTAAAACCATTGTTTTGGGAAGTTTCATCCATTAAATTGAAAAGTTTCAACCCACATTTCCAAGTCAACGGCGGCGATGGAGAAGCAAAATAAATGAGGCAACCAACGACAAGAACTTTGCTGGAAGCGGCCGAGTTTTTTGCTGCAACCATCGCCATTTTTTGCAACAACCACGACGGATTTGCTACATCGATCATGGCAGAGCTGTGACCTACTAAGATGGTGCCTTTTTTGTTGCAACCGTCCTCGGATTGTGCTACTACCGGCGAGGGATTTTGCTATATCTATCATGGCGGAGTCGCGACGCGCGACGGCGGCGACACCAAAATTGCTGCAACGGTCGTACTTTTTTGCTACCATCGGTGTTTTCTTCTGCTACATCCATGAACGGCATAATTTTTGCTATGACCCATGATTTTGTTTTATTTTTGTGACCAACAAATTGAGGGCGTGGTACGGCACGAGCTTGACGATGGTGGTGTCGTGGGCATCTCCACTGGAGTTGCCATGGCCGGTAAGCGTGGGCGGCCAAGGATGCGGTGGTGAGCGCAGGTTGCCGGCGAGCACGACGGGGAGGATGCGGCAAGGCTGCCAACAACTACAGCGGCGGCGAGCTTCAACGCCGACGGCGATGGCTGTGAGCTTCAACCGCGATGGCGACGGAGATGAGCTTCAACCGTGACGGCGATGGCGATGGCTGTGAGCTTCAATGGCAAGGCGACAATGGCGAGCCTGTGATGCAGCAAGGGCGGTGGCCGGGGATCGGGGCGTTGACCTTGGCACTCCTTTTTGTGTTGAAGTGATTGCTTTGTTTTTTTTGTTGCAGATGATGGGACAAAGGATTACGCATATCAAACGGTTGCAAGGAGTTTGATTGTACGATGGAAATAGGACCGGCGGAAACTTTCGGCCGGCTGACCGACGCCCATCAGTGGCCAAAAAAAGTATAAGGTTTGTGCGACGCGAAAAAAGTACAACTCCTGTGTGAGGTTCTACCAAGAAGAGATCTTTATAAGGTGAGATCTCATCCGTCGCTCTAGTGATGGTTAGTGTAATTTTCGGAGAGGCGACCGCAAGGGCGATTGGATCTCATCTTGGTCCCGTCGCCCGCCACCAGATCTTATCGCCGGCGTTCGGGCCTCCGTCCTGACCACAGGTGATCTGTAGCCTTCCCTG